AAAAAATCTGTAAATGTCATTCATTGATATCATTTAGATATATTTTCCCACCTTTTTGCAAACACTAACCAACATAAACAATCAGTTATCCGGTAGTGCGAGAGAAAAATGCCAAACATTTGGAATATATCTAGGTCAATATATACATTACATTGGTTACCATGTCAATCACCCACAACAATGATACGCTAGGATGTTATTGCCATCTTTTGAATCGCTCTTTTCTTCCAGTTCATGGAATAAAATAATCATTTTGTTATGACGAATGCTTTGAAAGAAACGATGCCATAACAACATTGTGTAAAAAGTCAGTTGTCGCTTTTTGGCATTTGTATTATTTCATACCCATCATGTTTTTTTTAACAAATTATCAAAAAAATCCTTTAATAACTTAATGTTTAATGCTTTTGTGTTGACCATTTCAAATTATAATTTCACAGATTATTGCAACGGTAAATCAAGCAGATCAAAATGTTATGTTTATATATTTTACACCATGAAAAAAATATGGAAAAAGTTATGCATTTTTTTCTATTTTAGAGCCTCAAAGTCTAGTGTTCTTTATCAATGATGGCGATTAAGATACAAATATTAGATAAAATGTTGCGCGCATTTTGACATAGTGTGCAAAAATATAAGTGCATTACTTACATAAGCTAGTATGCAATAGTGAAAAGAAAGTACGAAATTATCATTGAACAGTAGATAATACAGTCTAATTTCGAAAATTTCTAACAATGCTTTATAATTGGTACTTTATAACTGAACATTGTAGAGCCATGACGTAGCATGGGGTGTACATTAGTCTCGAATTGAATCTAACTAAAAGCTTTCTTAAGTAATTGCATAATTATTTCTTTCTTGTAGTGACATTTATCGTACACAAACTGTCTTTAGCCTTAAAAGTAATGAAACCTAATTCACATTTATAGATCGGCGACCAGTTGGCAACTTCAAATAATAGCAAGAAGTGAAACTCATGAAACATTATCTCAAAGAAAGAAATTTGAGATAATACAAAAAAGCAAACTAAGATCACTTTAAATTTGAGATTTTGTATTTATTTCAAATCCGTCTCAAAAGATAAAGACCGGAGTAATCCAGATTAAAACATAATAAGCATGAATAAGAAAATACACATAATAAGGTCAAACGTTTGCATACATTTTGCTATCAAAATTCAGCTGAATGTTCTTTAATACCAAGTTAACAAGTTACAAAACAAATAGAATGATATTTTTCGTGTCATTTTTGTCAGTCCACTTCTCAATTTTTCCAATTACACTCGTGGAAGAAAACAGAGTTGGTCATTATGTATACCAATCGCTTTGTTCGTACCATAGATCTTTCATAATTAGAAAATGTGTTTTACTATTCCTGGAATCAAATACTTGTCAAATGTTTTTGTACATCTATGATATACCTACCTTCCTTATAACAGAGTTATTGCTAACCAGTTAAATAATCAAATAATGGTTATACAAAATGTATAATGATTGTAAAAAACACTTAATGAATATAACGACCTACATTTTCTTTCTGTGATCATATTAATTACGAAAAGTCATCAATAGAAATACTTTCTTCGTGCCATTTTCTGTTGACTTTTATGTAGTATTTATATATATATATTTATCATTACGCTTTATTCTTAGCTTTGATGACTCGAAGAAAGATGAATACAATGTCACACTGGCAGGTCTCAGGTGCATTCAAGAATAAACAGACGTTATTAACGTCAATAAATTATAAAGAACAAAAGCTAGATATATTCTCGTGGTAATATATACATATACATCATCTTTGAAATATCACACAATATGAAAAATACCTCCAAGTTTCATAGAGCAAATCAGTATCGAGAAATTTCAATCCGAGTAGGCGTAAGATGCTGTGAAACATAATAAGAGTTCTACTTAGTAATTGTTATGTATATAATTATACATACATATTAATATATTGCTATATAAGTACAAACAGCACTTATTGTGGGGGAAAAAGCATTAAAGCCGCCGTGTTTGTTTTTAAATAAGACTTAAAGGAAACACAACAGGGCTATTAAAAATATAAAATAACAGTTGCAATAATACATTTATTCCATACAAGAGAGTACATTAAAACAAATGAAAACACTTTAACAATGATGAGTATTAAAATTGTCTATGTATATTTTTAACGCTTAGCTTATTAATAAACAGCATACACAAACATGTTACAGTTTACAATATATACAAAGCATTACAAGAAAACTTTCAAAACAGGATAAAATGGAAAGAAAAAGTCTTATAAAATTATTCTCCAAAACTTCATGTGTTTAATTTTTTCATAACATTTTTACCGCTATAGGAAAAGACACATGCTTATGTTGCTAGAACCTGTTGTCTAACTCTTTTCGACCTTTGTTAAAATTGCATGTGTTTGTAATAATTGCTGTTATGTGTATGTGTGTGTTAGATATTATATGTATACAAAGAACAATTCAACTTTTATTGATATCAACAATTTTTTTGCCATGATGGACCTTACATAAAACATAAGTGCGTTTCATCTTTATGATTTAACCAAATGCTGTTGGGAGCAGTTTAAATGAACACAAAGTCTATAATAAACTTATAATAATATTCAAACGCAAGTCTATTTAATAATAGTATCATTTAATTGCTTTTTACGTAACTATCTGACATTACTTAATGAAAGTTAATTACCAATCATTTAACAATACTCCAGTCAAGTCATTTTCTCATCTAAATACATGTTAACCGCAAATAAATAAACCCAAATAAAATTGTTTTGGTTTACAAATTGGAGCTAATCTTATTGGGAACTATTGGGAACAGTGTTGTATATCAACATAAGACGTTGTTCAGACACTTTGATAATGCTTGTATTTAATTTGTTTTAATGAATCCTCTGTTTGTCCTCTATGTTAAACTATAGTATGTAACAATATGTCCTTGTTCTGTTTCAACGTCCTTCATTGTTGATTGGAAGATACAAAGATATATGCCATTGTGACCTACACAAGCACCGCCTAGAGATGACATTTAAATATACCCTTCCGATGCTTAACCTTTGTTTAACTAGACAATGACGAACAAAAACTGGTTTCTTTCATAATTGAAGCCTTCGAATTTAGAGCAATAAGAGGCATAAGTATTTTATGTTTAATTACCTTTTAATCATCGTTTCTATTTAACATCTCCCACGACACTCTTAAGGCATAATTATAGCTAAAGATAGCTAATTGCGATTTAATAACGGCCAAGTCTCGGTAACTGACCGAATGGTGTAATTATTGGTCGTCCTACCTAAATTCCGCAATGTTGGTTTTTTAAGGAATATACCGGTCTTCTTTAAATTATTATTCATGGCTCTGTAAAGCTAATACTTTTTCTATTTTTGTGACTATTTTATAAGGAATTACCATTTCAATTGTATCAATCGTAACATGCAATCTATTTCTAAAACGAGCGTGATATTTCTTTTGATATGTGTTAAGTTATTTTTTGTTTAAATGGCACACAAGTGTTGTTAATATTTCGCATGCAAAAATACTTTATGTTCTTCTATTTTATTTTATTATTTAGTTTTGCCAAGAAAACAAACTATAAAAATTGAATGTTCTTAACATTTTATGAATATGTTTCATAGAATTGTTTTTGTTCCAATCCCTGAAAACTAATCAACAGCTTTTGATGTTAACATTAAACATGCTGGGGCAGAAGGCGATAAACCCATTGCTAATAAAATAGAGCCAGGCATCTGTGCAGTCTGGTCAAGCTCTCAACTGTTGGTAACTTATTTTTTGTATCTAGACTGTTTCAAATTTTGTATACAGACTGTTTCAAATTCAAACTAGGCCAAATCAACTTCACAAATTCAGTATGATAACGGTTAATGTTGACATAATTTCTCTGACGTAAAAGCAATCAGTACAATACTTGCTTTAATGATTTACATAAAATGTCGTACAATTTCGAGATTTTTTTCCTAAACTGTCTCAAAAGCATCCTGTCAGAAAATTGACATCAATGATGTATTTTATATGTGAATAGCAGATTTTAATGTCATTTTAAAACGTTGATTCCTGCACGTCAAAAGAATGTAATAACATGTTGAAATTATAGCAGAATAACGGCAACGACTGTTGTAATTTAACTGAATATATACCATTTTGTCCTCGTGGAATGATAATTCATTTCATCAAAATAATAACTTAATACAACCATTAAATTTTCCTCAAATATGGACCATTTTCTCATTTATGTAAATGTCATAAAACATATGTACTATTCTTGAAAAAAAAGACATTTATGTCACACATGTTGCATATGAATTCGTACATAAGATTTAATAAAACACTAACACATTTTCTCCGAAAGGGAAAATAGCTTAATATGTTAACATATGCAACTGACAATTAAAAATACTGTTTTTGTTAGATTATGTCTATTTTTTCACATTTGATACAAGAAGAGGTTGACATGGCCAATGTCAACTGATGTGTATATTTATCTTATAAAATAATAAATAATAATATATAATAATATAATACAAAATAATAAATAATAATTGCTTTTTTAAATAATATTTTACGTTTGTAAATTGTAATGGATAATTGTAACGTTCATATTATCTTTTTAAACGGATACTACAAATCAATAAATATATGGATTTTTTGTTGTTGTTGTTGTTGATGTTGTTTTGTTTTTGTTGTTGTTGTCGTTGTCGTTGTTGTTTTGTTTTTGTTGTTGTTGTCGTTGCTGTTGTTGTTGTTTTCTCTCAAAGAAAGGAATTTTGTAGTAATATATATTCGTTAAAGAGCAGTTGACAGATTTATTGCTAAGTGTAGACGGTTGTTAACTATGTTCTCCGCCTAATAGCATGAAAAGTATGCTCAGGTAAACTTTGAAAATTTGATAAGAGGTATTTTTTCAGAGCTTTATTAATATATACGAGTATAAGTTATTTATAGCCTCTTTTTTGTTGTATTTTTTCAGTTTTGTTCCGAAGTTGATGTTAGTAACAATGAATCATATCCAACATTTGCCAGGACGAAGCCAACTGATTCACAAATTTCAAAAAGTGTTGTGTCCATATTGAAAAAGTTCAAATGGCAAAAAGTTACATTTGTTCATACAAGCGAACCAGTCTTACAGCACACAGCAGACACAATTTATGATGTAAGTCTAGCTTTTGGTTTATTGATTAATTACATATAACGAATTTCCAAGAAGATTCCTTATGCTTCTTCAACTAAATCTTAAGCCTGTAGACGGCGACGTTATCTACCCACGCCGTGCCGTCGAATCATGGCCTGTATTGTTTTTTCTCTTTACAATATTTGAAGAATATGTTAAGAACTTAATAAGAAGTTTTCACTAAATGATGAATGGTGTTGTCCAGATTGAAACATATTTAACGCAGATGTTTAATGACTTATGTATGACGATATATATCGTTTTGAACGTAACGGTTTTGTTAACATAATACTGGCAACAACAACCTCTATAACAAAGACTGCAATACTAGATTCTATGATCAGCAAATTGATAACTTGTTCAATGGAGCCTTAGATACTAAATGATATTAAAGAAATGTTGTAAAAATTGGTTTACATGCTCGTCTTTTGATATGATTACATTTGATCAATATAACAATTTGATAACTGTTCCAAGAACTGTTTGAGAATTGTCTCCTTCCATGACAAACTGCATATCGTCCTTGTTGCAGACGATAATGATATTATTAGATGCTGTCTAGTGCAACATAAGCTCATTTTAAGAAGGATAAGTGACTTATGATTTCAAACGACTTGTTTAGCTGCAGACGATAAATATTGGCAGGAAGTTAAACCCTCTATTCTGCATAAAAGGATATTATAAACTGATCACAATAGAATGTAATCAGGAGCACAAATGTATGGTGCAAACAACGTGAAGAGGCCATTACTAATGTTTAATTTAAAACAGACATTCCATAAAGTGAACAAATAACTTAAAATTCATTTGATAAGAAAAATTGAAAATTAATTCAAGATAAAATTAATGTTACAATTTCACCCTGTCTTTTTGTGTGGCCTACATCACAGTAGCCGCGATATTTAGGGATCAGTCCGTCCGTCATTCCGCCTGTCACAGATCTTGTCCGGACTTCTCAATAACTACTGGTGCAATTTTATCCAACCTTTACAGAGATGATCAGTACCAAGTCTATTTGTGTATATCGTCGGCATTTTCCAGTTTAGTGTTTTTTTGTCAGAGTACAAGAGACTTATTCTCTTTCAACTTATTTATATTCCTTACTGAAACATATTTTTCTCTCAGAAGAATCCAATCTCAATAAATATATACTTTATCGTATATTCACTCTTATAGACGATAATTTGATTATGTACAAGGGTGCGTCAGTAAAAATAGACCGTACAATTCTGTCCGATCAATGTTGAAGTATTTTCACTATTTATGGGAAAATTAGATTTATTATCTAGATCAAAGATGAAAAGTTATACACAATTCTTATTATTTCTATGATACTGGGGCTAATATTTGTTTTCTTTACATTATATTCTATTATATTTTTGCGCAATTTAGGTTGAGAAACATTGCTTTACATTGATTAAAACTATTTAGCTATGTCATACGATATTTTCTACCGTTATTGTAATTTATAAGGATTGATATTTTTGTAATGTTTAGACGCCGTATTGCTAAATGTACGACGTCTGCATTAAGCAGCATATGCCTCCAGTTTCATGTTAATTTTCAAGGAAAATTTGAAAATTGACATTTTATAATGTTTAAACGCCGTAATGCTAAATGCATATCCCTACAAATTTATAAAACAATTAATTAAACATGTATTTAAGATTAAAATAGTGTGAAGTAAACAAAGTAAGTAAATTACAGATTGGAAACCGCACTAACCTAACAATCCACATAAATTACGAAAGAGGTAAAGAATGTTACAAAAGTAGCCCTTCCCTTACTGCGTTTGTCACGCAAAAGAAATATGCTGATAAACACTGCAAAATCAGACATTAATCCCACATACAAGTGAATAATTACTTGAATCTAGTATATTTTTACTTTTCTAAAAATCTCTGTTCATTTTTCACAAGGTTGATTTAATTTTCTTGAAATATCTTTTATCTGGAGGCATGTAGCGTCAACGTCTCTTAAGAGATATACATATCTATTGTATGTGTTTTTTGTCTCAAATACAGTTCTATATTTGTTGATAAACCGATTACATTTTCAGCTCATGCACATGTATGGTTTAGAAGTGACATTCCGGAAAGTTTACAAAGGTCCTTATTTTCACAGACACACGGTGAATCCATTCATCAAAATAATTCAAGAAACATTCGTTGATACAAGAAGTAAGTTTTAATGTACAGGAAATTTATGCCTAAGAAACGAGTAATTGTTTTCTTCCTGTGAAAAGGCAAACATGGTTTCAAAACGGCTAAACAATTGTTTTAGAGCATTTAAGACGCATATCACCTGATACGTATCGCCAGAAGAAATTAGCATTGAATTTGTCATAAAGGTAGCAATATGTAAACAAAGTAGTATTTTGATTTCCATATAATACACCAAATCACTATAACTGTACTTAGTGTAAAAACGCAGAAACAAAAAAGATGGTACAGGTAATTTGCGAATATTTTGTAAACTATAACAGAACGACACCAACAATAAGGATTAGTTGCCAAATAAAAGAGACATTGATGAGGCACAATTTGCCTTCAACGTTCTTATCCAAATTAAATTCAAATTAAATAGTGCAATAAGTATGTCATAATTCTTTCCAAAATAGTGTCTTCCTTGAGATTCCTTATTATACATTAGCCGCACACAGTGTGTCGGGGAGAATTAAAGGTTTCATTTTGCACTGTCCTGTTCCGTCGAAAAAAAAATCTGTTACACCTGAACCAGAAATCAAATTAAAACTTTAGATATATGTAAAACATCGCTAGACAGCTCTGTAGGAGAGTTTTATATCTCCATAGCATTTGGTTTTGGTTTGACAAACCTATTTGAAATTTCAACTACCTGTGCAATGATTCCATTCTTTTCACCAAAGACAATTTTTGTATAATTATGTATTTCTGTTACTAAAGTTATTCTTCTTTCCATAAACCCAAGTCAGCTTCTATCAATGACATTATTTTGGCATGGATATCATTCAGTGATAGTTTTGTTGGGTTTTTTATATTAAAGTAATTGCTCATTTAGAGCATCTGGCATATATGAAACAATCAATTGATCTTACAGAAAATCTGCCTTATGAACGCTATAACATAAATTATTATATGTATGCGGAATGTATTGAAAAGAAAATCTAGTATTATGTTTGCAAGGATGTAATGTTGATAGATTAATCTGAATTTTAGAATTTTATAAAAACGTAGCTTAATGTTACAATGTATTGTTAACCACTACAGGGGGTGGGGGTTATGACCTTAAATTAATCTGACTTTGTTTACGAGTCTATGGTATTGTCTGTGTATTTTATTACAGATAACCGAAATAGTTTACCTACAAAATAAGATTAATGTTTATGTATTGGTAATCGCTTATAAAGATTTTGTTATTTTAATTGCTCATAATCTATTAAATCAAATTTGAGATATTTAGTAACAAGTTTATTTCTGATCACATAAAATCTTGTATTTACTCGTGTATGAGCCTAAAGTTTAATATACACGTTAGGTTTTTTTGTTGTTGTTTTTTTAAACAACCAATTGCTAACTTTTGCCATACCTTTATTGTGTTCCAGCGCAAGTGTGCTTGCTTCTAATTCTATATTTATTATATCTATGTTTTCAAGTTTATGTGATATTGGGACAAAATTACGAGTTTGTTGGTTTGCTGGATCACTTGAATGACAGAGGTCTTCTTGACACGGGGGAGTACTTTGTTATTGGTGTTGATGTTGGGCAGTATGATCCAAAAGATGCACAGAAATATTTCAAAGGTTGGTATCCGTCTTTATACCATAATCTTTTTACCTGTTTCGGCGCCATATAATCTAAATTGCGCCGTAAAACCAAACAAAATAAAAAAATATATACCCGTGTCGGTTTTGTGACTTCGTAAAATCGGTATTTTGACGGAAAGTTATTTGCGCATAAAGACGCGCAATTATATGGTCAATGGGAAAATGGTTTATTTTTAATGTAAATAGTACATGTTTTATACATGAGATAACAATATAATATCCGTGTTTCCTTTTTACTAAATTTATTGAACTCCTTGAATAAGATAATATTATGGTCTCCAGGTTGCACACTATAATTTTTTTCAACTCGTTCAAAAATCGTAAGTGGACCGACAGTTATTAAATATCCTCTATTTATCGCATAACGTTGCTTGTTTTTATGCAAATGTCACCATTACATTACAGCGTATACTTTTTAATTTGAAATGTTTATGACGTCATCAATCATATGTATAATATTTTAATTTTTGGCTTCACTTATCCATGCAAGAAATAGAATCTTTCGTTGTCATTCTGTATAGCCTTTCGTTTAACTTGTCTTAGAAGTGTTACAAAGTTTTCAAACGATACTCATAGAACATTTGATTAAAATCTGGACAAATTATCGCGTTTATATTCATATCTTAATCACTATTGTCAGTATGTGTTTAACTTTTATTTACAAAATAAATTGCTCTAAGAATGGACATTTCATTGTAATACTACCAAATTATTCTTGGCATTGATTCACTGCGGCTGTTTTATGATTATCATCTTTGTCCGGACAGAAAAAAACTGCAAATATCCCATCAATATATCAACATCGTTTATTTCTTTGAGCATCTTATTTGACTGTTATATCATAATTCTTACGTTTATACCATAATTTGTCTATATATCACAATTTGGCTTATATATTGGCTTTTATATCATATTAATATTGCTTATATATTGGCTTTTAAATCATTACTTAGCGTGTATATCATTATATTTTAGCATTAATATTGGCTTTACATCATAATTCGGCTTTAATATGATAAATTTACTTTTATATTGGCTTAATATCATATTGTAATATTTTGGCTTATGTGTTATGATTTGGCTTTTATATCATAATTTGCCTTTGCACAAAAGAAATGGATTTAAGCAACAACAACGCGCAATCAAAGGCTTTACAAGAATAGCACACATACATGCACATTTAAAGTTGTTTGTACCCAGTATTTTTTAATGTAATTCGTTAATAAGTGAGAACATTTATTCACATTAAAACGGATAAAAGTTTATGGTAAAAGTGTTGTTTATTTTATATTTTTTGTTGAAGGGTTTCCCCTTTTTTTCTTTCTTTTTTTTATTTATTTATTTATCTTTTCATTTATTGTAAGAAAGTGGAAGTAAATAAAAAAAACATTTATATAAATGGCGGCAACTAAATCGACGCAGACGACCAATCTAGTGTATGTCATAATCAGTTGGCACATCATCTTCTGCACTGTTCCCTAAAAATGATAAATGGTTGTGTCCAGATTCAGATTGAAAAATGAACCATTTGGAATATTTAGCATGGTAAAGATTTATATTTTTTTTGATTTTCAGGGATTTTTACGGACAAGAATGTTACAAGCGACATACAAGGAGCATTTCGGTATTTTATTGGTGTTGCATACTCCCCACCAGTGTATCCGGGTTATGACACGTTTTCAAGACTTGTAAATAAGTATCTTGAAGCACCGCCATTTAACTTTGAGAACCCCTTTGCAACCTATGGAGGGCTTAAAATAGTAAGTACTTTAAAAAGATTGTAAAGATCTAAACTGTAAATTATGCATCTAAACGAAAGATAATCTACTTTGAAAACTTACTCACAAATATCTTCAAATATCTTCACACCCTTTAAAATGAATAAAGATGTTAAGAATTAAATTGCAAGACTTAATATACAGTACGTGTTTTTTTATCCTTTGAAACTTAAATATAGACAGAAACGACCACTGAAGTTTTGAAATCGTTTTTCGTGTTGTTAAGTTAGCATTGTTATCATATATAACTTTATACGAAAATATTTTAGTTCGATTCTATTGGAAGTTATAGACTTATTAAAATACTCTTAAAGATCATATATAACGCCACCATTTGTTGTCTTATGATTTCATATTTATATTGAATCTTTGGTATTTTTTATATTGAACATTTGGTATCTTAAAAGACAAAAAAGAAAGTTTCATTAATCATTGCAATATGGAAAAAAAATACAAAAAAAACAGAAACTATCTACAGGTAAATGAGCCAAAACAATATCATAACATTTGATACTTCATCATATCATATCCTTTGATGTTTTTATTGAGTTCGATAAAAATGTAATTTGTTATGTTGAAGATAAGACCGGAAGCGGCCTATCTCTACGATGCATTATGGTTGTACGCCAAAGCTGTCCATAAATGTATTGTTGAAGAAATAGATTACAAGAACGGCACAAATGTCATCAATAAAATCAAACATCAAACATATATGAGTGAGTGGTTTTTCTTTTTATCTTGTAGTTATGTAATATATAAAAGAGGTAAAATGATGTGTCAACGAGAAATGTAAAATATTGAGAAAGAAGTGAAAAATATATGGCTGAGAATCGATTAAGTCTGTTAAAGATTTACTTGTTATTATCTTAAGTGTATTTTTGAAAGATGGTATCAGACGGTTCTTTTGCCAAGTTTTGTTTGGTTTTATAGATATACCGACAATGTTAATGTCAAGCTTTAGTTGTTGAGGAAGACCTCAGCTGCCCTCCTACTTGTTATGAAATGAATAACATGTATATAAGTTTTAGTTACTAAATATTCATGGAAATACAAGTAGTGTCAAAGGAAACTTTTGGGTGTGCTTCGGAGTCATTACTTGCATAATAAACGGTCATTGATTAATTTACAAAAGGAAATATAACTATTAAATGATCGAATTTTTTAAATGGTAACGAGGATGACCAGAAATTAAACACATTTAAAATTATTTTCAGAATTTTTGTTAGTATTGAAATTAATAAGGCTGCATTGAGTTTTATTCATTGACATCATATATATCAAATGTCTAACAATGTTATAACTTTACTGACGACATGATCATGTTTTTCTGTTCTTGACTTTGTGCAACATATGTCCGATGTAACATTTTCTTCTATGTGTTACTTTGTTATAGTGTTTCACTCTATGTCATATAAGTTTTCTTTAACATTCTTTTACTTGGGGACCACAAGCCGCTTTTCATGGAATGACATTACTGTGTCACATTGAATGTTCCATGATAACCGCCGTATGAACACATCTGCGGATGTTTCTAAATTCAAAATATTACCATTTTCGTGTTCTAATGTTGAATTCTACCTAAGTCGGTGCTAGGGGGCGTGGACGGTAACTTGCACTTTCAATTACTGTCCATAAACAGTCCTTATCAAACCGAGCCTGCAACATTTTCAATTTTGCCGTGTTTGGCTTTCTTTATGGATTCTGTTTTTCTTTGTTTTCTTACTTGAACTCTGTCTTTGTCCTATTTTTTCACTTACTTGAACTTAAAGTTGTCATTTCATATCACTTACTGAGGTTCTGCCTTAAAAAGTTTGTAATATTACATCACTAACTAAATAGCCTATGTTATAATCTGCCTTTTTCATATTATTTCATTTTACTAAAACTCCGTCTGTGTCAATTTATATCACTTACTAACTAAAACTCTGCCCGTCTCAATTTATTTCACTCATTTATACTTCTAGTAAGTGAAATAATCTGATACAGGGCATCGAACAGGTTCTGAATATGATTTACAATCGATTATAATATATTAGTAATAACTTATTTGCCTTCTTCGTTGTTTGATTTATAGCCTTTAATATCTATAAAGATAATTTTGTTATGATATATTTGAGTTGATGTAGTGTAAATTTCTGTCTGGAACGAACGCTTGATATGAAATTGATTTTTAATTTGTCAAATAGAAAGCTTGTCATTTATTTTTTAGATAAAGTAGTATAAAATGTCTTAAAGATGGACAGACGTTACATTTTGTAATCATATAAGCCCGTATAACTCAATGTAATTCTATGGTCGCTTGTTGGATACTCTGATCGGGCAAAATATCTTCGAGACAAATGATTTCGGACTTTCAGTCTAAAGGTCATTTGCCTCTCACCGCCGATTCATAAATCGTGTACCTCATGCTTGTATCATGAATGATGCATTTGATTTGATAAGATCTTTCTTAATATGTGCCGTGTAAAAATTGCAACGTTTACAATTACAATTATTATTTTAATAGCTATTCACTGACCATTTTACTGCTCTTGTGAAATTAAGAGGACTTACATGTACTGCCATAATCCAAACGGTAAACTATCACCAACAGCAGCATCTTTGAGCGTTATAAATTACCATGTGATACATGTGTATTAATGACTTTTTATATATGTGTATATTTAAAAACTTTACTATGCAGTACTGATGCATAAAGTAATATATCGATTTATTGTTGCAGGTGCTATGGGTTATATTTTGCGTATTAATGAGTTGGGGGACGCTGAAGGCAATTATTCACTTATTGCACGCCATCACTTGTATGAAGGTTCGGAAGATTTTGGAATGTTCCCTGTCGGGGTATTTAGGCTCAACCAAAATCTGACTGCTTTACCGGTATGCTAATACTTTCAATAGATTATATAACTATAATTCTTGATAACTGATACTGTTTCATAAATATCCATTTTATTCCATGGAACTTGTGAATTTTCAAAGAATTATCTTATTCTTATGTGCAAGTTTTTATACATTGCAAAGAGTAGCGGTTCATTGCAGCACATCATTTGTTTTGGATAGTTACTGCAAAATATCAGAGAAAAAAATATTTTCAATAAAACAATGTTGATATCAGTAAATCTCCGCTGTGCGACGTTGTTGTAAAAAACAATATGTTTGAATACATGATATATTTAAACTGATTGTCCGACAATTTTGTTACTGTTCAATCTCTGTTTAAAAAGTCTTTCCTTTCAATTTAGCATACTATTGATAATTTGTAGTCACTTTAAGTACAGAAATTGTGTGTTTGTACAAAACACATAGTGCAGTACCTGAGGCAGCTGAATTATCACAAGAAATTTTCTCCCACATAAAGATAATTAAATTCCATTTATCACGCATTCAGGTCATTATTACATTCAATGCACTCAAAATTATATCTCAGATCCGCTTATGTTTACTTGTCATTTTCCCTTTCATCGCAAGAAATCTTCTCTCAAAATATCAACGAATATCCTTTAAAAGTTATCACTCGTTTAAGACATCATTACTTTCGAAGCACTAAAAGTTATATCCCGATACCTCTTATAGTTCCTATTGTTCCTTTCAGACTTTCCATTTCTACAAGGATGGTCATATTGAATGGCCGGAAGGATCACCGCCTATTGACGAACCACCATGCGGATATCGCGGACAAAAATGTATTCCTGCAAAAAGTTCGTAGTTTGTTATGCAAATTATTTTATTTCATCAATTTTGTAAGAAATATTCTCGGTACTTCTATTTTATAGGAAATACTGCAATCAGAACTTTGTATCATTCAAAATTTATTAATAAAAACTTTACTAACGAAAGCATGTTATGAATCTACAGTAAAATGAATTACAACAAATAAAGAAGCCGTAAAAAGAGTATATTTATAAATAAATGACGTTATTGTAGTTAATTTGTTTGTATATTTGCCAATTTATATAATAAGATTAAATATTGAGTGTTGATACTTTCACCCTTACCTTGCTAGTGGTAATTGTGCAGACCAAGACAAGCCGGCTAATATATATACGTGCTCTCTGATCATGGCTTGCATTGTTCGCTATTTTGTCAATACATCAGTTAAAATTTATCTAAGATTAGGAATGGTTTTGTACGGAAGCGTCCTTGTGCCAATTTAACATGTTCTATAAAAAGGATAACTCTTACGTAGGAGATAAAAAAGCGAAATTAGGGGTTTATAACTTCTCCGTATGACTTTATTAGTCCTATAAAGGACTTTATAACTCCTACAAAGGAGATAAAAAAAAGTCTAATTAGGAATTTTTAACTCCTACGTAGGACTTTATAAATCCTACTTAGGACTTTATAACTCCAACGTAGAAGATGGAAAAAATAGGAGTTTGTATCTCCTACGTAGCACTTTATATACGCTTCCGTAGTTTTGTCTAGATTGGAAGATGGATAAGTCAATTTAAGATATTTAGCGTGGTAAGAGTAAAACATTGTCTGCACACGACATGATGTTCATATCAATTCGTATCCGCGTAGGCGTGTAATGCACTTCCGGTAGCTTTAGACTGGAAAAGATCAATTACATTTCCATATTGAATTTCGTATTTAATTCATGATTAATTTATTTTATTTTTTTTTGACCGTAGGATATTAACTGGGCGTAGGATATTTTAAACGACTCAGAAATTAGAAAAAAAAACAATCAGTTTTAGGAACTCAGCTATTGTTTTCAACTTAAAAAAAAGCAAGACACTAATAACATTTTTCCTTAATATACATGTACAAGTTCAGCAATTAAATGAAAGTGTTTCATTAAACATTTTTTCTCTTTATTTGATTAGCCTACACGAAGGAAATACTCTCTGGGGTCACTGGTGGACTGGCATTAATTGTTCTAATAATTGGCTTTCTAGTCTATAGGTAAGTTACTGTTTTCGTCGTTGTCGTCGTCATAGTTGTTGTTGTTTTGTACAGAGTAATCACCGATATTTGAAGTGTCTCGTAGAAATATTTGGTTAATTTAAGCTTTTGCCTATAAAGAGATGTGTAAATAATTTGTTTTGCTTAGTCTAGACCATGGTTACCAATAAAGGTTTACTTAAATTGTCGTAACCGGAAGTATATACGGGCGACTGGTTCCCGGAGAGTGTTATTCATTTTATTTTTAGAAGGATATCTTTTGGACCAGTTGTCGGACAAAATTACCACTAGTCAACACAGTCCGCTCAAAATCTGAAAGCATGTATGCCATGTAAAACAAAGTAATTTTCAATTTTGTCAAATCGAACGACCTTTAGTTTTCATTTTGATATGTTGATTAATTGATTAAATTTTATTTTATTCTTGTTATGCTTTTATTTTCGTATTTTTATTTATCACATTCAATTTGATAAATATTAGATTTAAACTTTAATTAAATGAAAATAACTTTCAGAAACTGGAAATATGAAAACGATCTGGCTAGCTTGTTGTGGAAAATTGAATATAAAGATATTGACTTTAAAGATCATTTTCTTGGTACAATGTCTTCAAAATGTGCCACTAAAGGACGGGTAAGTAAACATGCTTTCTTTTATTGTTTTGACTTTGTGTTGACACCCCTTGGCTCTTCCCACCGTAAGACACCACTGTGGATGTCTCTAAATTCAAAAGAAGTTCATTTTTTTCATGTTTAAATGCAGGGGGGTAGACGGTAGCTTGCAATTACTATTACTGTCCATGAAACCGAGTCTGCAACATTTTTAATTTCTGCCGCTTTAAGTGTTCTTAAAGGGTTTCGTTTTTAAACTTTTTCATTAAAATACCTATTTTATTTCATTATTTGTTGTTTTGTTTTGGTTTTTTAAGCCTAACAATGTAGCTGTGTAGTAACCAATTGCTACAGAGAAATAAAGAACAAACAACGACAAACTGAAATAATTAAATATCAGTCAAAACACTAGGAAAATTCACAACCTCAAAATACTTGCTACGATCATAGTTGCGAAGAGCTAACTACATTTTATTCTTACGAAATAACCGATTTGGTTGATTTTGAATTCAATAAGCGTAACATTAAATCATATTATCGTATCGGAGCAGAAGCATTTTCAAACAGGAAATTAAATTATTTATCGAAGTACATAACAACAAATTTTAAAGAAATTTAATAAAATATTAAAATGTTTAATGAAACTAATGTAGACAAGCAAGTGCATAGATTTTTTTCTTTCTTGTATTGTCCCAGTTTTAAAACATTTGTTTGTGCTCCCCCGGCGGATGATCCATCTAACTGTCTTTCTTGAATAGCTAGATCGTCATTACCTATTTGTCAGCAATTGGCCGACTACTAATCCCACCTGATTTTTTTTAATCAGCGGTGAAAAACAAATAACCGTTAAGCGCAATGTCTGAGACCAATTTTGACTGATTCTAATAGTTTCGAGAATGTGTTTATAAGGTAATTCCTTCCTATACAAATGAACTAAAGTAACTTCCGTATTAAAAATTTATTTTCAAGGAGAAATTTCACCTTACATGAGCTTCAAATCAGCGAATCTCGGATTATTAATCCCACCCCCTCCCTGATAAGCCATGCGGGCGGTCCAATGCTTAGTTACTCAGGGAAAGCAATTAGTATTCTTTTCTTACTCGTACAATATAAAAGTAATAGATTAAAGTACTCTTCATAAGATCGATATTGTTGAACATAAATATGATTTAATAAATGTTATGTCTCAACTCTTTTCGTGGAAGACGGTTAAAACAGTTAAAAGTAAAGAAAAAACTAAATGGTTAAAAAAAATCATTGTCCCTTACAAACAAAGTCTTTTCAAAAACGAAAAGCCAAATCTACTTTTTTAAGTATTTGTTTTCATTGGTCTCTAAAGGTCTTTTTCTTCCAAGAATTTTCAGAAGCAAAGTTTCCGTGCATTAAATATATTGACTTTACCGTATACATTTGAATCCCTGATTAAAAGTCCGCTTAATAGCTTGTTTCAACTGATGTCGTGCTAGACTTATTTGATTGAAATCAACGGGTTATCAAATAAATGTAAAATAATTATCAGGTGGCATGTTTAAAATAACAATTTCGTGTTTAAATTGCTTTCAACATCAAAGGTCGTCTTCAGCAGTAAGTCAAAATGCCCTCGCAATTAATGTTAAAAGGTTTTGAAAACGTGATCAACTGCATTCGCATTTGACAAAATTGTTTTTGACACATAAAACCAAGGAGAAAGCCAGACTTTTACATTTATATTCATTTTTATTTCTCATAATGCGATTAGGACTGAATATAAAAAACTTGTGCTTGTTGTCAGTTGAAAGTGTCGTATGACTTGAAAACTGTGTTAGACTCCTCGTTCCGATGTACCGTTAGCTGTTTTGTATACATTAGAATAATTAATTTCAACATTTGCCATTGCATACCATTAAAAAGATACATGTATAAGGTTATATAACAAAATGTGGTTTATTGTGTTCATTTAAATTTTACTAGTTGACATGTTATATAAATACGGTATGACAAACCATTTTACTAATTTACATGTTATATGAATACGGTATAGCAAGTCATTTTACTAGTTTACATGTTCAGTGATTACGGTATGACAAACAATTTTACTATTTTACATGTTATATAAATACGGTATGGCAAACCATTTTACTAATTTACATGATATATGAATACATATGTCAAACAATTTTACTAGTTTACATGTTAAATGAACACGGTATGACAAACGATTTTACTAGTTCACATGTTATATGAATACGGTATGACAAACTTTTGTATTTATATTATATTCATGCTCGTATATCCAAAGTTTCGTTTTAAAATAAGCTTAATTAAAAAAAAGAGGTTAAAGCAATTCTTTTTAAAGATCACAGTAGATTGATCTCTCGATTTCTATCAAGCATATGTAACTTTATCTATCTATTTATTCACACCAAATCAATAAAAATGTATTTATCGATTCATTCACTCCAAGACAATATAGATTAATATGCCATGTCAATATAGATTCATTCATACCAGATCAATAAAGATTTATTAATAGATTTGTCCACACAAGTCAATTAAGATTTATCTATAGAATTGTTCACACCAAGTTCACATAAATTTATCCGAATATTTGTTCACACCAAATCAATACAGATGTATCTGTAGATTTACTCACACCATATCAGTAAAGTAGTATTCGTAGCATTGTTACAGGTTTATCGGTAGATTTGTGCACTAAGTTAGTACTGTTTTATCTGTAGATGTATTCACAACTTAATCGGTAGATTTGTTCACACCGAGTCAATAAAAATTCATCTGTAGATTTACTCACACTATATCACTACAGATTTTTAGTAGCATTGTTGAAGGTTTATCGGTAGATTTTCGCACTATGTCAATACAGTTTTATCTGTAGATTTAATCACACCACACCAATTAAAATGTATCGGTAGATTGGTTCACACCAAGTCAATAAAATATACCTGAAGATTTACCCACACCATCTCTACATAGATTTATTCAGGTTTATCGGTAGATTTTCATACCAACTTAATACAGTTTTATCTGTAGAAGTATTCACAACACACCAATTAAAATAAATCGGTAGATTTGTTCACACTAAGTCAATAAAAATTTATATGTAGATTTACGCACACTATATCACTACAGATTTTTAGTAGCATTGTTGAAGGTTTATCGGTAGATTTTCACACTATGTCAATACCGTTTTATCTGTAGATTTAATCACACCACACCAATTAAAATGTATCGGTAGATTGGTTCACACCAAGTCAATAAAAAATACCTGAAGATTTACCCACACCATCTCTACATAGATTTATTCAGGTTTATCGGTAGATTTTCATACCAACTTAATACAGTTTTATCTGTAGATGTATTCACAACACACCAATTAAGATTAATCGGTAGATTTGTTCACACCAAGTCAATAAAAATTTATATGTAGATTTACTCACACTATATCACTACAGATTTTTAGTAGCATTGTTGAAGGTTTATCGGTAGATTTTGTTAATATAAATGTTATAATGATTATCCTAACATTAACATCTACAGAGAAACACAGTTGTTCGTGTGAACAGTAGAATGTTTCAGCTACAAAATTGCCAGGTATAATCTATGGGCTACGGTTAAAAACTATTTCCACTTATTGCACTATCTATATAAATTAACAAGTAGCCACATAATTTTGAAGTAGGTCTGTACAATGTCTATCAAATTTAAACGTTTAACATAATTTACTTCGTGAAAATTAAGTTCTTCCTAATATCCACTTCATATTTATTGCAATGGAGTAGATTTATAATAACAGTTTGTCGAATTATGATACAAAGTTTATATTTACTGATATTTTATGTTCGTAATTTTTTTGTTAGACATTGTATTGCCTTCTCCTTGAAGGATATCAAAAGTGGCAAGTTAATAGATTAGATTCTGGTGATGGGTTTTTCTTATGGGGAGATAAATGGTACAAACATAAGCAATGTTACGCATCTTAACAGGTGGAATGTTTTCCTGTTAAACTGCTACAACAAAATATAATTTATTTATAACAACTACTATTCTATATTATCTTATATATAAGAAAACAATACTAAAAGATAATTCTATCATAGCATAAAGTTTGCTTGTACCGATACAAGTCAAGTCTGTGAATAAAGATCAACCAATGGAGAGAAAGGACATGACCTTACCAAGCAAATGGTCTTTATTTGGAGATCATGATCATTTCTTTGCTATTTAATCAATGAAGGATCGCCGAAAAGAACATTCATTTGCAAGGGAGGATCTTTATTTAGATGTGGTCTTTAACGCAGATTTGACTGTATAAATTGTAACTTAAAATTTCAAATTTCTTGCATTCGATTGTTAAAGTAATGACAAAATATTGTAATGTTTCTTCGATATTATTATTCAAGATATATTCTTGCATGCTGAAGATAAGTTTGTTAAGAGACATATCTATGATAAAAGTGCATATAAATATAAAATCATTAGTATAATGTAATTTTAGGTTAATATCTTCTCAGGAATTGAAAATATGTTTTATAAAATTGTTAGAACATAGACTTGATAAATACTGTAATATTTTTATGAGAGAGAAATATTTCTACCAACAATAAAACGAGTGTTTTATTTAATTAAGTGTAAAAGTATTGGCAAAAATATGCAACAATTGATTTCCTATAACGAAATTCTTTACATAGTGTAGAGCAGTGGTTAAACAGCTATGTGACCTTTTGTTTATTTTCTTAAAGAATAATCTTTTTTCAAGTATCTCAGATAACCGTTCAACTTCTCATTTGTCAGAAAGATAACAAATTGCATGAATAACATTATGTCAATATAGTAATATTTAATTAACACAATTATAACCATGGTTGAATTTGAAAGGGTTTTTTACAGTCGAAGTATTTAAATATTTAACAATGTAGTCTTAAGTAAATAAACTTGCTAGCTGTGCTTTTTATCAACTCATATCTACATGTATACCAATGCCATTTAAATATATTTCTCTTAATAAATCAGTGTATGTTTCCCAATGACATTTTGTTAGTATTTTCTTCAACTAGTTTTATATTAGATTATATATCTGATGACATTTCTTCAGTGTTCTCTTCAAGTTGTTTAAGATCAGATTTGATATCTTTATTATTTATTTGTTTTACATAGCGAACTGCTGTTGTTCGAGTTAACAGCCAGATGTCATTGGCATCGCAGGGTGAGTTCGATTTCCGGCAGCTTTTCACATGTGTTGCCACGTATAAAGGTATGGTGATTGCCGTGAGGAAAATAAGGAAAAAGAATGTTGAACTGACAAGAAGCATAAAGAAAGAGCTAAAAGTGGTAAGTAAAGAAATAAATCTATTCGAGATCTACTTCAACAGCGTTCAACGAGTGTAATGAAAACATATATTTAAAAAAAACTGTTTATAACATAAGCATATGCTTGTAGGTAACATTTCCGATAAGTTCACTCTGAAATTGAACTAGCTGACTAAATTGGCTATAAAAGAGAACTTTATTTCTACAACACAAATAAAACAGTGGAAAGACAAAGTGCATAAGCATAGTTTGATATAAAATGACATAGGTTTCTTCTATTTAGATTCGTGACTTACGACACGACAACTTAAATCCTTTCATAGGGGCATGTCTAGACTCTCCAACTGTGTTGATAGTAACATCATATTGTTCAAAAGGAAGTCTTCAAGATCTTCTAGAGAACGACGACATTCAGCTTGATGACATGTTTAGAGCATCACTCGTGTTTGACATTATAAGGGTAATAATTGTAGTTGTTTTTGAGTTTCTTTCAAGAGTACAAATGTTGTAATAGTGTAAGGTATGGTTATATGAGTGCAAGATACAGCTGTATGAGTGTAATATATGGTTATATCTGCGAAAGATACGGTTATATGAGTGCAAGATATAGCTGTATGAGTGTAATATATGGTTATATCTGCGAAAGATACGGTTATATGAGTGCAAGATACAGCTGTATGAGTGTAATATATGGTTATATCTGCGAAAGATACGGTTACATGAGTGCAAGATACAGCTGTATGAGTGTAATATATGGTTATGTCTGCGAAAGATACGGTTACATGAGTGCAAGATACGGCTGTATGAGTGTAATATATGGTTATATCTGTGTAAGCTACGGTTATATGAGTGCAAGCTATAGCTGTATGAGTGTAATATATGGTTATATCTGCGTAAGATACGGTTCTATGAATGCAAGATATAGCTGTATGAGATGGTTATATGTGCCTATGGTATCATGGTATGACTGCACGACATGGCTGTATGAGTGTAATATATGGTTACCTGAACGTAAAGTTGTAGGAATATCAGGTATGCTGTATGTAATAAAGCGACAGAATATGTTCATTATTTTGATATAAAGGTGCAAGATATGATTGTTTGAGTGCAAAATATGGGTGAACGACTGTCATGTTTGTATGGATATAAATATAGGTTGTATAAGTGCCATATATAAATGTATGAGTTCAATATGTGGCTGGAGTTCAATATGTGATTGAATGAAAAAGATATATGCATGTATGAGTGCAATATGCGGTTGTATTAGTTAATTAAATATGGTTGTATGAGTGCAGTATATGGTTATTTGGTGTGTATGATACGGTTGTGTGAGTGATAAATATACCTTTGAGAATATATTTGAAGAAGTGCAGAATATTGTTGTTTAAGTGCTATAAATTTCTCTTTTCCATGTTAAATGGGTCGTAATTATTGTTTTTGTTGTTTGTTTTTTTCTCTTTTTTTACAAGGATTTTTACAAGGATTTGATAAATTTTCCATAAAACGTTTAAAGTTATTCAATTTTATTGTCTTACATGCATAAAGTTGTCAAAATATTTATTGAAGGAGTAAAATGCGTTGCATTTCTGCACGAATTAGATTATTCCTATTTCATAGATGATTCATTATTTAGGAGTGGGTAATCTTTAGTTGATTTATTTTGGTACTAAATATTTAATGAATTGAATATCAATTTGTTTTTGAATATTATTAGTTTATTACATTCTACACGAATCGTGTTGTTGTTTGTTTGTTTACGTCTTTGTTGTTTTTATGTTGTTGTTTTTTGTTGTTGTTCTTTTTGTTTCCTTCTTCATCATCATTTTCTTCTTTCTGTCTTTTTCTTCTTCTTTTTCTATTTCTTCTTCGTCATTTTCTTCTTTGGTTTCTTTACATATTAAATCTTTTTTTTTTCAAATTCAATGTGAAAATCAAAATGCTTCGGTGAATGTAAGATAAATTCTTTATCTTCAGGGTATGATTTATCTACACGATAGCGAGATAAAATCACATGGTAAACTAAAATCCTCAAATTGTCTGGTTGACAACAGATGGGTGTTGAAAATTACAGATTTTGGTTTGCACGAGTTCATGGAGGGAGAGGAAGACGAAGATGAAGGAGACTTTGCTAAATATAGAAGTAAGAATTGTCATATAATAAATCTGATAAAGAAGTACTGCTGATATAGAAGTAAAAACTGCTGAAACAGAAGAAAGAACTGCAGATACATGTATAATATGGCTGATAAAGAAATAAGAACTGCTGAAAAGGAAGTAAGACCTGCTAATAAAGAAGTAAGAGCTGCATATATAAATTGCCTGATAAAAAGTTTTAACTGCTGAAAAAGAAGTAAAAACTGCTGACATAGAAGTAAAAACTACGTATCTAAAATATCTGATCTAGAAATCAGAACTGGTGATAAGAAGTAAAAAATGCAGATATAAAAGGTCCCACTGTTAAAAAAAGTAACAACTGCTAATAAAGAAGTAAGAATTGGTGGTAAAGAAGTGAAAACTGAAGATATAAAAGGTCTCATATTGAAATAAGAAATGTAGAAATAGAAAAATCTGATACTGAATTAAGAACTGTAGAAATTTTAAAAAGAATGGTTTACCTTAAATTTAAGTTTGCTTGAAAGATATTACTATGATGGTCAAGTTTCGTATTTGAAAATATAAATAACTGCTACACAGTGTCTTTATAAACATTTTTGAATACACTATCATTAGTTATTAACTACGTTTAAAATCTGACATTATAGGTAAACATAGTATGAATACATAAAGAAAAGACCTAAAGACCTTATTGTACATGACCTTTTTTTGTTTGTTTTTTTCTTCTTTTTTTTAGTTTTGTTGCTTTTGGGGGGTTTTGTTCCTTTGGGGGGTGCAGATTTCCATACATAGTGTGACAAACAGAATGTGTCATATTATACATATTCAAGAAGAACTTCCTACAGTTCATTATTATATCTTTAAATATAGATTTCATTCACAATTTACGTAAAAAGTGCGTTTATAAAATAACAAATGTTATTCAATGTACTAGTTGGTTTGGTTTAAGCCATATATATTTTATATAGTTCAAACATAAGTACAGTAGTTACCAACATGAAATGAGTAATAAGTGTACAACAAACGGAAAAAAAGTTAAAATACATTTGTACTAACAACTAATGAGCAGTAATATTGAATTGTTATTTATAAGTGGAAGCAGGTACGGAAGAAAATAATTTTTGCGGTTTAAAATTTAAACAAATGTACTAGTTGTGTGTTACTTTTCAGGCGTAAGTTATATTATGACATATTTAGAAAAGAAAGCAAATAGTATGTCTTCCCATGTAAATGGATTTTATGACTGATAGGCAAAAACTATAGAAATATACGATGTGTGTCATAATATTATTTTTCTGATACTTTTCAGATCTTCTTTGGAAAGCACCGGAATTGTTACGGGTAAATAATTCCCCAAGGCGGGGTACGCAGGAAGCAGATGTATATTCATTTGCCATAATAATGTATGAGATTCATGGTAGAAAAGGTCCATATGGAGATATTGAACTTTCTCCTAAAGGTAAATGTTGTAATCCTAAAAAACATTATATAAGCCTAGATGTATATCCATTATCAATTAAATTAGACTTTGTTTTCTTAGAGATATTTCATATGACGCAAAACCTTGGAATTTACAATAATGTTAGTGTCATTAAATATAAAGCTAAGAGTGAAAAAAACAATGGAACCATTTCTTTAGAAGTCTCGTGTACTTTTGAATAATAGGTCATTGTAATTTAATATTCTTCAAACTTCAAACAACTATAGCGTAACAAAACGTAGATTTCATAATTATTTATGTTCTAAATTTGCATGTGGCTCAAACTTTGAATCATGGAATCTCTGTAAAAATGTGGCAAAGTGTCCGTTTTCAGGATATTCTGAGAAATCTTATCGTATTATTTCTTTAAAATGCCACGTGCACTATTTTACTAAGACAAATAAGTATTAATTTTGTTGTGAAATTTGTTGGACAATTAAGGGTTTCTTTACTGTTAGTAAAAATCTAACTTTCAAAAGAGTTACCATATAATCAAATATATTTCTTGTTCAGACATTATTGATCGGGTCAAAGAGTGTCACAACTACATTCCATTTCGTCCACATCTTGGAGCGCTTGATACGACGCTGAAAATAGTTATAGATGTTATCAAAGAGTGCTGGGATGAAGATCCAGTACGAAGACCAGATTTCAAAACCATCCGAAACCGGCTGAAACCAATACAGAAGGGAATGTAAGATAGCATATTTTTTATTAATAAAGTACCTTAAGGTTCCTTTAGCCTTAATTGAACTCCACTGACCTTTTTGACAGGTGGGAACTGGAAATATGTTTTCGAGATTAATGCTCCACTAGGTGTAGGTCTAGACCAATCACTTGTGTGCAAAATTTCAGTTCATTCTCTTAATCCTTTTTTCCAGAATAATTATTCTGATTTTAAAATTACCAAAAATTGAAATAAATCAGAATAGAATTTTCAATTTATTTCTGGGTATGTTACATAATTATCTTTTGCATATCTTTCTGTTTTTAGTGCCCAGTTTGATATATGTAAGAAATTCAAATTTTATGTTTATAGACTTTTGAACCCTTTAACATGCTATAATTTTCAATACTGGATACCGTCCTTTTAAAATTTCCGGAAAAGTCATCATTAGTTGAATGTATTGCTGAACCGTCTTTTTCTAATTTTGCCTTTGTTGCAATTAGTATTAATAATGATATAGAGATTCGTATATAGTGAAGTAAAACTGCCTCAATATTAACGTTTTGCTACTTTAGTGACACATTATTTCTTATAATAGATCTACATTTTTTTCTTTGTTATTGTTAAATCAGAAGGCCATACTGAAAATAAGTATATTTTCTTACTGTGTTAACTTTGTATGATACCTTCTATAAATAAAGATTTTATTATTATTATTAATATTATAAAGCGCTACTAACTTAAATGATGAGCACCAATTTGTTTAAAATACATCCTAAAAACAGTATAAAACACATGTATGTCCCTTTCTAAAGAAGAATATATAATAATTTTGTGAGTAATAATCATGACTTTAAGATGTACTATCATATAAAAACAACTTCTGAATTTCAATATGTTATCAAGTTCAAGTATGAGCATAAAATTATTACAAATAGAAAAAGCATTAAATTTTATTTTGATGGGTTTTTTTTCTTCAAAAGATCAGTTTCCTAAACATTTTTACGGATACATCGGAGGGAATACGTTCAGCTTTCTCTCCCTGAACAGATAATATCATCCCTCTTGCAATATTAAAGACATTACGGTTTACAGTTCGAATAAATACTTTAACACCCGCAACTGACTCTAACGCTGTTTAAAGCGAAAATACATTAATATTTCTCTTATCAGAGTTTGCTGCATGTTTACACTTCATAGTTGAATATAACCCACTTTCAACAAGTGTTTTATATCTTGTAACATACCCATTTTGATAATTAAATTGTACAGTTATTTTTGTTGATAAGACCTTTCAATTAATTTACTATCGCAAAATTTAAACATTTTTACTGTAACAACTATTCTAATTATCTAAACGCCGACAACTTTTATTTATGTACAAGTAAATCTGGTGCAATCAATGATGTTTAAATAGATTTATGGGTATGACAAGAAATTTACGGCTTCACATTGCGGTGCGTTTTGTTTATGGGTTCATGCTAGGTAGATAAACAGAAAACTACGTAAGACCGGGAGGGACATATTACAACACAACTTTACACATTCGCGATATAAACTTCATGAATTCACAATGAATAAGTGAGTTTACTATTTCAGTATCACAAATTCACGATTTCAACGTCACAAGTTGTCGATTTCAACTTTATGAATTAAATTACACAAATTCACGTTTTTAACTTTGTGAAATTAAAATCACGAATTCGTGAGGAGAAAGAGTCCCCAGGGGTCTTTTAGAATTTTAAAGCATGAAAACTGTTGGATGTCTTGCAGTTTTTGGAAGTTATACGTATCCTTTTCTTCCAAATGAAAATAAAGCCTCATAAATACCGCCATTATACAAACCCAATATTATGGATCATTTTTAAGGAACCCAATATTATGGCTCATATTTCAGAAAGCACAATTTGTTTGATAAAATGGCTCATATTTCAGGAAACCCAATATCATGGATAATATGATAGCTATGATGGAGAAATACGCGAGCAATCTTGAGGCGTTGGTGGAGGAACGAACTGACCAGCTCAGGGAAGAGAAAAAGAAAACTGAAGACATCTTACTTCAAATGTTGCCTAAGTGAGTTCTCATGTTTGTTTTACATTTTCCAATTTCAATTGTTTTTCGGTCACCTGCAGAGAAATTGTTAATTACTGGTTAGTTATCCAGAGAAACTGGTCAGGTGTTCTTTCCACTAAGATATGACCAAAATAAGTTTATATTGGCGTTTATGCTGGTGTTCCATTTTTACATTGCTTTTTACTACATCTTTACCAGTGTTTTTGTATCTTTTAAGATCCTGCATATTGCGTTAGTACGCCAAATTATGTATTACATTTGACGTCGTTGTCCTTGACGTTGTGTGACGTTGACGTCATTCCTGTAAACAAGTATACCCGAAGACTTTTAAGTCGAAATGTTTTGATTATTTTTTTAATAAAACAAGACATTTTTAAATTGAAACTGGAGTTGATTACCATATTCATACTTACATAAATATTGGCGTAAAAGACAAGCTAAAAACAGTTGCTTCTTTGCTATTGAAAATACTGAACGTGTTTGCCAATCGTATTAAGTCAATTTTTAATGTACAGCTGTACCGTCTGAAAAAAACTTTGTTGTATTTGCTTAATCGCTGATGTTTTCTATTTAGTCTGTCTGAGACACATTTTATCGTCTGCTTTAATGCTACTACTGTATTATAATCCTCTGAGAAACATTGTGTCATTTGTCTTAATGCTGATATTGTTTTTATAAAAGCTTGCTTAGAAGCATTATAGCTTTTGCTTTCTTTAACTTCCTAGACACCTCCTATGCTTTAATGCGAACATTTTTGTATGAATTCAACTAATTTTAATATAAAACATTTTAGATCATTTTATAAGCGGAAAATCAATGATTAATTCGTTTATTTTTAACATAATTAATCGTTTGTTAATTGAGTGATTATCTTTATTTATATGCTGTATATAAGACCAGCGTAATTTTTCATTGACCTTGCAATCATTTGAAAGCTTTACATTTATTTTTTTATTCAAAGATCAAATACTGAATAAAATACTTTCATCTTACAACTGCTGTTTCTTTTGTCTTGTCCATGAAGGGCGGTGACGGAACAATTGAAGCGAGGGAAGGTTGTTGAAGCGGAATCATTTGACAATGTTACCATCTATTTCTCTGATATTTGTGGTTTCACAGCAATGTGTGCTGATAGCTCTCCATTGCAGGTATGTATACATAACTGATTTTGTACAACATAATTAATTTCTAAACCATTTTTCTGCTGAATTTGTGAAATGGATTTGTCCTGCATTTAAACAGTCCAGTTGATGTTTAAGTGAGTACAAGATTTGAGCATCCGTCCGAGCAGTCTGATCTGGCTCTAAACTGAGGGCAAGGCAAATTAGTCCGATTTTTTGCAGATTACTTTCTTATTGCTTGCAGCAATAATACTTGTCTTTAGTGATTACTAATCGGGTCAAGTGCAGCCGTTAAGGCGATATGACCATGTTTCTTTAATATTTAATACCAACATTTGCATTTTAAAAGGAAAAAATTCAAAAATCTTTATAGCTTAAAAAATTGTTAAACCCAAAAAATTAAATTTTTTGGTTTTTTCGCATTAAAGCGTAGGCAACCCATGAACCAGCAGTAGTTTGACTTAAACCCACGGCTGGGTTAATATTTGATTTGCAGCTATTAAAACGAGAAAAAGTTCTTTAAACATCTTTATAAATGCAATTGTTCATACATTCCTTTCAGTTTGTTTTCATTTGGCATAAAATGATCGAATCGTTAAAATATCGGAATAGTAATTTAAGGTTTGCTATCAGCATGGGTGCAAACCCTTATGGGCTAGACTTTGTTTCCAGTAGCGAAGAACTGTGTACACATTATTCAGTACTGGTTGGTTACATGAACGGATTCGAGCGTGTGTTTATAAGCCATACGTTTTCTACACAATGGAACTAAAATAAATTACGTATAAATCAAAATGATTATTTAAAACTTCTTAATTATCTTTAATTTCATTCCACTGACAAGATCTGCTGTGGAATTAAAATTTTAAAAAAGAATATGTGGATTTAGATCTGTAGAAAACACCGACACTGTTGCAACATAGTTTGTTGTTCTGTTGATATCATCCTTAGTCATTATATTTATAGTTAAATAGATCTTCTGTATTTTGTCAGGTTGTAAGTTTGTTGAATGATTTGTACACATTGTTTGACTCTATCATCGAGAACTATGACGTGTATAAAGTGGAAACAATTGGTGACGCTTACATGGTCTGTTCAGGGTTACCTAAACGAAACGGTATTCTACATGCAGGTATGTATCTAGTAAGGCCGCGATCTACATTTAAAATTATAGTCATAATCAAGGGTTCAAGTTTTCAAGTGTTTTGTACTAAAGCCTGTTCTTGGGGGGCATAAACTGTAGATTTCATATCGCACTGCTTTCGTAAACGGGGTTAATCAAAATGAACATGCAGTAGTTTCAGTTTTTTTGTGAAAAGGCTGCGTTCTTTGAGAGTTTTCCTTATTACATTATTTTGTGCTGAAATAGTTTGTTAATTAAATAGAATGGTATTCATGATAGATATAACTTACTTACGCCTCTTAAACATGAAAAAATAAGTCAAAATCATATTTAAAATCATAATACTTGTGTTTTCAATAGAAATGCACTGCTGCAGAAATGTTAAATAACACAGTCATTCATTTATCTGTTAAATATTTTTTATTTTTATTGTTGTTTTTTTCTTAAAAAGGGGAAATAGCGTCGATGTCTCTGCACTTACTGAAAGCCATAAAACAGTTTAAAATTCGCTTTCGTCCAGACGACACTCTGAAGTTGCGGATTGGAATTCATTCCGGGCCTGTTGTTGCTGGTGTTGTAGGCCTTAAAATGCCTCGATATTGTTTGTTTGGTGACGCTGTAAATACCACTAGCAGGATGGAGAGCAATGGCCTCGGTAAATAAGTTTTGACAAACACCGGTTAATATTTTTAAGCCTCTGTTAAAATAATTTTATACCTCTGTTGATATATTCATACCTCGGTTTATAACATTTGCTGTAAAATATCTGAAACTATCTGATCGTTATTCAACTGTTTGAAATATCTGTGTAAAGACATATCGTTTGGTATACTTTAGTATATCTGCAAAATAAAAGACAGTGATCTCTCAATAAGAACAGTGTAAGAAGAGAATAATTTATCTTTAAAATGAGGAATTAGAAAATCACATTTCGAGTGCTGAATATATCGTTTATTTTCTAGTATGAACGTTTTTTGTGTGTTTTTTTAATATATCTGAAGAGTTTTAAGATAATTTCAAATTGTTTTTTCAGCGTTGAAGATCCACTGTTCTCCACAGTGCAAAACACTTTTGGATGAATTGGGTGGATATATATTAAAGGAGAGAGGACTTGTAGCAATGAAGGTATTATATGTACATTACTAAGTTTAAATGAATGCCTCACTTCAATTTAATTACTTATACTCCAACATATTGTATACATGTAACATTAAATGTATTGAGTAAATTAATAATGACAAAACAGACATGTATAATTTTTAATGTTCTTCATATTAACCTCGTGATACTATAACCTAAAGTTATTATTGTAATCATTGTACTGCAAGTAGATTTCATTTAAACAGCTCCTAACGATTCCTTCTTATTAATTTTCAGTCTTCAACATAATAATTTCATTTACTCAAAGTTTGTGATAAAAATCATGCAGTCTTTAATTTAATTTGATTTTATTTAGTGCAAAAATAATGCTTTCCAGATGTACATCTTAGGCATTGACTGCTATTTGCTAAATTAGGGTAAAAGTGGTGTAGAGATATTGTTAGTTAACTACCGAGCAGTGCATGAACGTTCTTTTACAGAACAAAAAAATAATGAGAAAGTTGGCTTTAACCCTTAACTTGATTGAAATGAAAGTAATCAGCCGTTACGGTAGCTCTTTTTTGTAATTTGATACTGAAATCCTTGGAAAACCTAATACAATGAAAACATTTTTCTAAATTTTAAGTTTGGCAAATACATTGCACTTATTCAGCAGGTTTAAGAGTTTATTTGGATAATAAATATTTGAAAATATTTTACAAGAAGTAAGAGCAATAAAGTTGCATATCAATTTGATAAGCATCTACCTTTTATTTCTTCACTATAGGGCAAAGGCGAAATCCTGACGTATTTGCTGATTGGTGAAAATAAACAGAAACGTTTAAAACGATTGGAATCTGTATCCGCCGCTCAAGGCTTTGCTGTGTCAACTGTAAGTGAATGTGATATGGACGAAACTATTCAGTTCCGAACATCCCTTGATGGTGAAACAAACAGAGCATATCATTCCGTCCGCGAGTCGTTAGATAATACAAATGGACCTGAAGAAGAGTTTGATAATAACACAGTGACAAATGATCTTTGTAGTGAAGAGACTGGTCCAAGTTTTCATGACACTGGAATATTATGTAACGGAAAACATAAAATTGATCACAATAGGCACAGAAATGGTGATATTGAGACGCGTGTAGAAATGAAACCACTTCTTGGTCACGTGACATGAGTTGCTATTGGTTCTTGGACAACATTGTACATATGATGCAACAGCTGACTGTTGGAACGGCAACCATATCACACACAACTCAAGATTGTAATGAGATTTGACATTCCAATATATCATTGATATAAAATGTACATAAAAAAAACAATTACTTTATTTTATTTGACTGTGATTTTTAATTGTTACTCAAACAATATTCATGAAAACGAAGTTAGCCTAACTCAGTTCTCGAGTGGTTTTGTAGTGAGCTGATATATCGGGCTAAAGTGTAGAGGAGAAATGCATAAATACTCACAATTAACCTTTGTTAACTGGTAATCGAAAACAAAGGCCACTGAAAAAGTATTTGCGAATAAAACTTAATTAATTCACATTTTAGTCTGAAGACAATTTTTATATATTATTTCTTATCATGAACATGTATTATGATTTTGTATATGATAAAATATATTTCAAGATAAAACTTTCCTAATGTCACTTATTAGTTATTTTATATGTATATCATTTTGTTTCTGCATTCTAGATGCATTCCAATCTCTTGAGATTTAAGTTATTTTGTGTTCAATTAATATTCTAACGGATAGGAATAATTTCCAGAAGTCACAGGTGGGCTAAAGACACAGTTGTAATGGAAATAGACAGCGTGTATATGAAATCACGATAACATAAAGAAGCTGAAACTAGAATAAGCTAAGATCATCAGATAAAATACATAAATATTTCGCTGTTTTTTTTTTAAACCAATATTTGTCATAGATAAAAAGACGTTAAAATGTTTTTCTCTGGCCAACTTACCTAATAAGTTTGACTACTGAAATTAAAATGGCACAGTCTTTAACATTATTATTCAAATTTTTGTTTTGTAATTATATAGAATATTTGAACAAAAGTTGACTATATGCTTTGTCTTTGAAATTGTTAAATCTCATAAAACAATGGTATTTTTCGACAATTTTGACGCCTTTACCATTGTATATCCTCAATCTATCAATATATCATAACTTATTGCTTATAACACAAAGTTTTTTTCACTGCAAAAAGAATAGAAATGTTTTGAAAAAGTAATTACGCATATTATTAAATAGATATGAAATGTTATAATTTTTCAAGCTACATGTCCACATGTGGCATCCTAAAATAAAATAAAACATCTTCTAGTTCAAAAATCAAAATAACCTGACAAGTTAGTTCCTGATCATGAATGTTCGTAAAGTAACAACATTATTTTACGAGATGGATAATTCCAGCTGCGAGCAGTGATATAACAAACATTCGAGGAAACTTTTTTTAATAAATCACCGCAGTGGGATCAAATCACGCTAGGGACTTAAGATTCTGCCACGTGAGAAAACTACCCTACTTGGTTACGGGAGATCTTCCTTTACAGTAAAACTTAACCCAAATTTTTTT